GTTTCGCCTTCGGTCGGCTATGGTAACGCCACACATTTTACGAAGAGATCGCATCTCCACTACATTCAACTTGTTTTATGCTTCTTCTGGCATACCCAGGTTTCGCTGCCATATAACAAAGTCGGTACCAACACTGCGTTATGTATTGCAAGGAAATAATTGTCCTAACGTTCCGATATTTATTGTTTTGTCTTTAATTAAAATAAAATCAATAAATTATCTCGTATAAAAATATGATTTTCTACGGATACAGTATTCACAAACATCACATCAAAGAGAAACTCATGTGCAGCAGTGGATTGTCACGGGTTTATTAGAAGAAGAAGCATATTAAAAAAATTCTGGCAGGTATAAATAATAGATAAGGTTGTTCCTATCAATAATGTAATATTTCTTATATGTACATATCGCATACGTAACAAGTGTAATTAACGTATAAAAACGTTAAAACTGAACTCAAAGAATTAAAAGATATATAATTATCGAAACTGGTTGACTTGACAAAGAATTATACGTTCATAATGCCATGCAGATGTCATTGAAAGTTTAATGATTTTCTCATAAATCCGATAATTACATAGTGACTAAATCAATATGGGACCATCCCAAAGGTATTTACTTTCTAATAAAAATATTAAATAAATTGAAACCATCCGCTAACTAAATACAATGATGTATCTTACCTGGAATATTGAAGAGCACCTCCCGCCCTCCCCCCATTTTTTATAGATCATACGGCTCATTGATAATGGTTAGTGTCGTCTGCCGCACACGAAAAGCTGCTACACCAGGGTAATCGCATGCGTTGCCGACTTTTTAGGAGTAGACTCGTGTCTTGAAGGTCCTAAACTTATCGTTCTCATAAAAATGCCAACTAATTGATCACCTTCTGTTTTTTTGAAGGTGGGTAAAAAAATTGTGAGGGACCAACTTCGCTTGTAATGATGTATTGGATCTGCAACGTGATCCTTTAATATTGACCGTATGGTGAATCTCAAATTAGATCATCTGTGTTATAGAGAGGGCTATGGATTAAAAGTGTTCAATTTATTTATTTTTTTAGTTTTTGAACACTAAATGGTGCTATTACTTGATAAATTAAAATAGTTTATTTATTAAAAAAAAAATATTACGAAACCTTCTACTTGGAATATGAATACCACAAGACTTAAAATTACGCTTGTCACTTGTAAACGTAGTGATTATATATTCTTTGGTCACTTGCATAATATATACAAAGATTTCTATAAATGTATGCAAAAATTTCTATAAATGTATGGAATGGAAACATATTTATATTTACCTATCCATTTTGATTTTGCACAGATTCGAATTAGCATGAGCAAATGTCATTCTAGCCTGCGATTTTGTGAACGATAAACGACGAAAACCATTTTTCGGGGGCAATTTACCTATTTTTCGTGCAAAAAAAAGCAAAAACAGAACAGTGAGAGTGAAGAAAAAGAATTAAGTAATTAAAGGAATGCACATACTTTTGCTTGTGAATATTAAGTGTATTTGTCAATATGAGTGTCCACCATTCCATTATCACATTACATTATCAACCGACTTTAAAAAGGAGGAATTATCAAGTCATATGTATATATTTTAATTATTGTGTACCGAATAGTATAGGACTATTACACCACTAACGAAAGTGGAATTTTGATATAGGTAAAGTCATGTCTTTATCTTGAATTTGATTGTTCAAAAACACGATTGTAATATTTTGATTCGATCATAATTATTTGCGAAAACACCTCTAGAAATCACTTTAGTTGAAATTGCAACGAAATTACTTTATATGCTTGAGAATCACTCAAATATATTCATAACATCAATATTCATAATTTACTTGTTCACTATTTTGATTACTTAAATCAATAATTTTTAAAAAAAATTTTTTAAGAATCTGAAAATTTCTAAGCGCTTTTAATCGTCGCGCGCGCTACCTTATGACGGCGTTTTTCCAAGTGTTTATAGAAATTATGTATTCACTCGGATTAGTACGGCCATAGCCTGTTCGATGTGTCGTCTTAATATCTCTTGTCAGTTTGCAGAGTATAACTTTTAAACTTTCTCTTATAATGCCGTTAGTTTCTTCTGAAGCAAGCTTATTAACTACAGTGAATAAGGTAGCAATCTCAATTTAAAATAATGTTGGAAAAAAATCTGAAAAATAAATCTGTCGATACATTGTCCCAGACAGTTTATTACCCTCTTGAAACTTGAGTCTTAAATCAAATGATTTTATTAAATGAAAAAAAAAATTGCATCACCACTTATCTTCAGATGAAGTACACAACGTATTAACGTACGTACATATCGATGGCCCCAACGAATAAACGTGCAATCGAACAACGACAACTTTTCAGGAAGATATAAAAACGTTTGGAATCACATAACTTTAATTACATAATAAATAGACAAATATAATGTGTGATCAAATTAAAGGTAAAAAAGATATCTTTCAGCTCATATATTTATTATAAATGAAATATTATCGGTTTACTACATTATTTAAGAAAAACCGTATTAAATTATTATTCTAGTGAATAATATGTGACTTGTTAACATTATTGTATCACTGCACGTTTATTCGTGTCATAAATGAAGCTTAAACAAGTGTAGTGAAATGTTGCATGGTTATTCCACGTATATTTTTTTTCCCTAAGCCTTGCTCTGGTCATCTACACACTTATTCTTGTATATTTTGTTGCTTTTACATATTTGTAAAGATAAAGGCCCGTATATTTGTGTTAACAAGATCGACTTAATATTTATGTAATACGACTTTATTAGTGCATGGTATATAATGTAAATTAGCTATTTTTTTTTTTGTTGAAGGTTCAATAAAAATATTGTTAATAAGAATATTTACTATTTATATATCCAATTTAGAAAGAAGTAGGTACTTATCAAGTATATTATTACTAAAACAAAAACAAGAAAAATGTAACAGAAAACAACTAATAAGTGGATACTAATAATTCTCCTCGTCACTATCGTTGGTAACTGAGGTGGAATTTAATGGCACTAGATTTCTGTAAAAACACTGGTAATGGTTTGGTATGGCTCCCGAGTCACACAGACTTATTAAATCTCTATATAAAGGAAGAGGTACGGGCAGCATTCCAGTGTATGCGAGTTTTAGGTTTTCAGCGTGTTCTATAGGTTCCCCCCGTCGCCTTCGTGAGTTAGTCCTCGTAATAGCTTGCATCTCTTGTAATTCGTCTTCAAAACTGTATCTAAAGTAAACTGTATCAGATTTATTATAAGGAATAACTACTTCTTTAATTTTGCTCCAGTAAATTTTATTATCATCTGTATCTTTTAACCAATTCTTCCCTTTAATTAATTCTTTAAAATCTATGAAATCAGCTTGCGTCATTTGTTTTACTTGATACTTATGCCCGGTAACTTTGGCATTCTCTATCAAGGAATACATTTGATCAGGTGTGTAGATAGTATGCTTTTTCTTAGAACGCTCAATAGCAGCATGCATAGAATCGCCCTCCGATTGGCTATGACCTTTCTCCAAAAACCTATGTGTTATTTTTATGTTGTATTTCTTCGCCGCTAAAGAAAACATGGCGAATACGAAACGATTACGATTTTGCCCTGCGCATGAATCAGAATAAAAGGATATGTTTTTTATTCCTAATTCAACGTGTGCCTGGATAAATGACCAAAGACAACTAGCTATTTCTATCGCACCCCTTTTTCGCAATTTGACAATGCCAGACGTAGCAGTAACCTTTCTTCTCTAAGATATTATAAATCGTGAAATTATGTGCAAGATACTTTCGTTTATAATGAAATATGCCTACTTCACTTTGGGGGATATTTAACACTTTTTCCAGATCAAAACATGCTACAACACTGTCACCTGAACAAAATTTTTCCTTTTCTTGTTCCTTTAGTTGCCTTACCATTTGTTTTTCTTTCAAGTGCTTTTCATAGTCAGCTTTTAACTGTTCTTTTCTTACATCATCAGAAGTTTGGTAAATTGAACATATTTCACATAAATCTTTTTTTAGGTTTGTGAAAGGATAGGTTAAACTTCATATTAAATATTATTTCATACTGCCGTTTAGTTGCTTTGCATGTTTGATTGTACTGGTGGTTTGTATCTATCCATTCTAAATATAGTCGGTGCATTTTAGAGACATTCAATGTTTCACACAGATATTGCTTTTGACTATCTTTACGAGTATAGTGTGATTCAACTCTTTCAAATAGATTTATATGGTCAATTATACTTTTCTCAGTCTTTTCTGACATTCTTCTTGGCCTATTCTTATGAGTTCCTCTGTAATCTTTTAAATAATTGTCATCTCCCAATTTATCAATAGCTGTGTATACTACTTGCTGTGTAATAGAAAAGGTACTTAAAAACATAGTTTTACAAACTTTAATCATGGAATTAGTATCATCGAATAGTTGATATGTTAATGTTTGAGTACGATTATTTTTACGTTCAACTGTAATTTTTTGACGTTTTCTCATTTTACATGGCGGTTAATAAAATCCCACTGTCTTTCGTGGTCCCCGATAGCCCAAAAATTTTGAAAAATTTTACTCCTCATATTTTGCTGTATCTTTTCGTAACATTTCAGTTTGCAGTTGCATGGTGGACCTATAGATTTTTCTACGTTTTGCTTTTTAGTTCTAACACTTTCATAACTTTTACCAGAATTTTTAAGAGTTTTATTTTTGCGATCTTTCCATAAATTAGGATCTATTTTTCTCTTTTTCGTAAGCGGTTCTATAGGAGTGACGGGTCTTTCCTCCGATTCTGTAGTTACAATATCCTGTGATATATTTTGTGTTTCAATACTATGTAAAAATCCCTCTAAGTCGGAAATATTTCTTAGATCGTAGTCATTATTAATGTATAAAACAGTTGGCGTGGCTATAAAATCTATTTTTTGTTGGTTTGATGGAGTCATTACAATAGAATTATCAGTAGTCTGTAAATCATCATTATTATTTACAGATTACAATGGAGTAGGATATTCCATTTCAGGTAGTAATGATTCAATAACATTATGAGAAATATCTAAAATATCATTTGTTGGTAAATTTGGTGGTGAGGTATTATTATCATTTGGAGATACATTTACTACTATTAATGGAGCCGATGTAATAAAATCATCAGGTTCTGAGTTGACTTCTTTGAGGTCTGATATGCCATCAATGGGGAAAGAACTTCGCGAAAGATATGTGAAATTTTCTGAAACAAATTACTCAAATGACTACATTACTATGTTTTCAATAACTATTTATTTACATTTACACTCAGCCCCTCACCCCCACGCAGCCCTTGGTAAGTTTTGAAATATATATATATATATATATATATATATATATATATATATATATATATATATATATATATATATTTATATCATATTATATTTAACCAACAACCAAAGAAAAAGTTTCATCATTCTCACCTTTAATTTCGTTTTGTTCTTCAAGTTCAATACTACTGTCATCTTCATTAATAATATTGTCTGAAAAAAAGTACTTAACATGGATCAAAAAATGTTTACTCGATACAATATCAGCTGAGCCTGTAAAAGCAAATAATCCTTCAAAAGAGAATAGTTACATAATACGTAAGACAATAAATTAGCTAAATAATAGGCAACCGCCGCGCGGTGCCTGTGTCAGGTGATTTTCGTTCTTATTACATTTAACTAAAAAGGTTGTCGGAGTCCACATAACATGGTACCACCTGTTATAAAGGGAAAGAATAATAAGAATCCAATTTCTATTGATTAAAGTGTGTATCCTCTTACTTACAAAAGTAGTTAATCAATAATAATATGTAGGTACATACCGTGTATCCCATAGTTCACCAATTTTAATATCTTTCTGCAACGACTTGAAGTACCTCTGTGTCTATTCATAATTATACTTATCACTCTTAATGATTTAATAAAAATATAAACAACAATGCATATGCTCAGTAAACAAACGAAATTACATAATAACTCGAGCAAATTCGCATCCGAACTGACCTTCTGGGGTCTAGCGATGTCACGCGCATCTTACATACCCCGCCCCCGCTTCGCCCCTTTTGTAACGAGCGATTGCAATAGACACTATTGTTAAAGTATCAGTTTATTAAACGGTTACTACCAATAACTTCAAATTCATGATCGAATAATATTAGGGCTTAAACCTTTACAAAAGTAGAAAAAACAAGAGAAAATGTTAAAAGACAACAGCATAGCTGTAATTATTATATTCAAAGTTTTGCCGCCTGCAATGAGGCATTACTGATAAAAGTCGCTTGAGTTTTTACACGAAAAATCGTGCAAAAGTTATTACCCAAAGGAAAGGATAGACACGAGCGGCAGATTGATTTAACACGTTTATTCTGGTGAACTCAAATAAACTAATAATTGGCAATAAGCGCATGTTTTATTATTCATGTGATATGTAAATATTTTTTTCCGTACAATAAAGGAATATTGTGCTATAAAAAGGCTTATTCGAAGTCTAAAATATTCAAAAAAAAATATACTTAGGTGTATAATAGGCTAAGTAAACGAAAAATACGAAAAAAAAATTTGGGTAAGAGCTCTTGCACGTTTATTCGTTGGGGCCATCGATATTATGTACGAATGTGTGAAATAAAATACCAAATTAAAATAGCGGCTTTGTACTGCTGACTTCCGTATGTTGATTGTAGAGAACCGGAGACCTTTTTCACAAGGAATTTCATCTCTTTAAACTCTTGGTTTTATTGTTGATATTATATTTTAATATTTTATTGTTGTATTACTCTACAATTTCTTGATCAGGTATAGACGTAAATGTCTCACTGAAAATTTACGTGATGTTCGTGTCCACAAGTAGTAGAGCCATGCTGCAGGTAAGATATGATTGTGGCACAAATTAGTCAGTACAACCCGGGAAGGACCACGTTTTCGCAGAAGATATATATATATATATATATATATATATATATATATATATATATATATATATATATATATATATATATATATATAAACCTAACAACATTTTATAGTGACCATATCAATGTTAAAAATCTTTTATGTTTCAAATAAATTGATCGACTTGGCCTTCGCACGAAAACACAATATATCTCACAAGTAAAACATATTATATTAAATTAGATTGCTTAGTGTGATTGCCAAGACAATCTATATATTTAAAATATAAAAGATTTTTAACATTGTTACGGTCACTATAAAATGTTGTTAGGTTAGCTAATTACGTAATAACTTAAAACAGAAGGACACTAAAGTAGGGACTGAATAAATTAACCGACTTCGTATTACATGGATCTCACAACTTTTTACCATAGAAGAACTGAGTTGCGAGACTTGATTTTTTTACAAGTTATGTTTTGATAGCATCTCATTTCTTTTTGTAGATAAGATAGTCCTAATTTTTTTCCTTTCCGGTACCTTCTACTTCTTGAATACCAACACCGTACCTATCTACACTATTACACATATACAAGTACACTGATTCATTCACTGCAAATGTAACTTTGTAATTCTATAACTTTATATGAGATTACAAAGTTATTTATGCAGTTGGTGTATCTAGAAAACTGGACCGAAATTAAAAAATATTTTAGTTTTCCCTTGATTTATACACTAAACGCTAATTGTATTCTAAATTTGAAGCTTCTATATCTGCTAGAAGCACCTTAGAGTTTTGATGATCGGTCAGTCAGTGAGTGACAAAATTAAGAAACTTTGACTAGTTATAACTCTTAAACTACTGGTTCAAATTGAATGAAATATGAAACATACCATGTTTATACAATGCCTACTTGGTTACTAAAAATTCAGGTTCTAGTTTTATCCACTACGAAGTTATAGGGGGTCGAAAATGGCCTGAACTGCTTCGAGAAAAGTATAGTACGGCCGTGCCGCTTTTTTGCTCGACTTGGCGGGGGCACTGCCGTGCCCCCAGATAAGCTACAAATCTAGCTCAACTGAGTCTAGATCCTCTTTCATTAACCTGTTAATATTGTTCCTATAATAATAAATAAAAAACTAATAATAATTATTATTAATACTCATATTTGATGAAAGTATTGATGTTGAACAACCGAGTTAATTGCTTTATCTTAGTCTAATACAAGACCCGAGTAGTAGGATTAATAATAATATTAGATGAATTTAGTATATCATTTCAATGTGTAATTAATCGTTGAATATTTTCGTTTACCAGGTGTGATATTTCATTAAAGTAAATGAAATTTCAACTAAAATTAAAGTTAGCAGCATGATCATAAATCGTACGTGCTCTCAAAGAAGTGACGTTTTTGGCTTCAAGCCACAGCGCAAACTTGTTACAATAAAATTTGAATTTGTGCTTCGATTTACTAATTATAAAGGGACGCATACATTCATATGTTAGTGTAATATATAGTTTGAAAGTAATTTAATGACAATCAAATAAAAAATACAATTAAAATTATAATTTTATCATAAAAATGATAATAAAAACACAGTGGGTTTTTGATGTGCTTTAATGAAAATAAATATGTTAAGCCGTATGACATTCAAAACCACAAACGTGAAGTTTAGACAAATTTCTTTCTAGAGTATCCAATTAAGCACACAGCTACCTACATACATAGATAATCATTAGAGAAACTTAACCTTAAACATTTACTTTTAAACCAACAACTAAAACAGAGGGGTGTCATATGTTTGTGTAGTATGCATCAGAGTGTCTGTCTGTGCTATCATAGCTTCTAAACAGTTTAACCTATTTTTATTAAGCTTCTTTGGTATAAAAGAAATCTTAATCAAGAGTATTCTTAGCTATGTTTTAATAAAGTATATTCAGCCTGTTGAAGATCATCAGCTCTTTATGTTCCAGTGGTTTTTTTTATTTCATTTTTAATTTAATTTATTAGAAATTGCAGATAGAGTAAAACGATCTTTTGAAAGAAATCATTTTAAACGGTGTTGTGAGTCAGAACCACAATGTAGCTAAATTATAAAGACGCTCTCACGGAATATCAGCTAACAACCTTTTTACGGGAACCGAATTATTCTAAGTCTTCAGGGGTGACAACGTATCTACATTTCTATTTTTAGCCGGGGATAGAATTGGATGTATTTAAAAAGGCAATTCTGCGAAATATTATAATTGAAACGGTTTATCCGTAAAACAATATTTACAGATTTTATCGATTTTAATTTTAATTGATCACGGGTGGACTGAGGTCGACAATGATCCGATGCAATAATAGAAAACCTAGGCTACCTGCTTGTCTAGCGGTGATAAAGCCCCAGAGAGAGAAACTTTAATGGCTTCTAATTACCTTAAATGACGGCTTGGTAGCGAAAGTGCTAAACGTTTGGTTGCAATATGGCAGGCTGCCGGTTCGAAACTCGAAATAAAAAAAGTTTAAAAGAGTGCCAGTGTTTTAGTGTATACCCATCGATCACTAATGTATGCCCTACAAATAATTGCTCCGTGTCTGGATTTTAGTCTTTGTGCAATTTATGTTTGCAAAACACTGCCACGACACGAGAAGTATTTCGAGTGTAGTTAACAAAAAACAATACTCTTTTTTAAATTTATCGCGGCAAATTCTACAAAAATACCATTAATCAACACTACAAGATAAATATTTTATCCATAAAAAAACCACAGGCATGTATTATCTGTGTTTAAATTTTCTTGTACTTTACATAAATTAATGTCACAGTTTCATATGGAGCACTGTTTGTAGATCGTTTAAATTTTAATTAGACTTTTATCACGTTAACTTCCCACACGGTGCGAGTAACTCAAACTAGCGTATTGTGCACTTATCAAGGATAATTGAAAGTTAGTTGTTCACCTAATTATACACAATATCCTATTTGTCCTTTGGGAAGCTTAAGTCATTTTCAATATGAAAATTAAATAACTCAGCATAAAGTTATATTCATATAGATACACATATATATATATATATATATATATATATATATATATATATATATATATATATATGTTATGGTTGTTTATCACATTTTTATAATAAAACTGAAATCTCAAACGAACCTACAGTTCAACTGATGGTAATTACAGTGTATGGACATTTGTGACCAGGTTTACAAAAGGAGGCTACAGATGCGTTGTCGCCTCTGAGAACTAAGGTGGAATGATTCATTGTTTGTAACTGGCTCTCCATACAACTTAGACCATAACACATCACAATACGCGACGCTAATCGGAGGCAGAAATAGGCAAGTTGTTTGTACCTACCTAAATGGACTAGGCATTAATTAAGTCCTATCACCTAGCAATTTTTTTTGCATTGAGGTGATATTTGATAAAACAATTCATGTAGGGTTTATACTGTGTGATTGTATTTAGAGTAAGACACTCAGTTCGGGAAGTCAAATCTAATGTTAGAATAAAAGCTGACTTCGTTATTTGCTTTATTACAGTGTTTAGCTCAGGACCTAAGCACTCCCCGAAATTTCTCTCGTGTTCGATCACTTTTTTTATAGTATGTGAGTGACAAAAGAGCATACAGTTCACCTGATGGTAAGTGGATGCTGTGACGTAAAGACATATTCACCCACTAACACATAAATTTATCCTCGATTAAGATTTAAAAAGCAGATGCATTGCCGCCTTGAGGACTAAGATGAATACCTCGTTTCCAGTAAAAAGGGTCTCCGGTTCTCTACACTCACCATACGAAACACAGAACCATTGAACTGCTATTTTACGCTGGTATTCTGTGAGAGCATGGCCCTTCCCCGGTCGAGCCGACCCATTTGTACTAAACCATAATACAACTGCAGCATTTTGGCTGCAATTTAACTGCTGGACTGTCTAATGTAAGGATCATTTTTACTATTATTATAGTCTATGAAAATTTACTGCTGAATATATCTCACCAAAG